ACCATTGTATTTTGCTTTTTTTACAGTGAAGGCAAGGACAAGGGTGAGTTTACTTGGGGTCCTAGGTGACCAATGCATGTTTTTCCCTCCACACAAAGTATGGCATAATGAATAGATTTGGTTGTGGAAGGGGGTGGCAGTCTGGGGGGATTGTAGACCCCTCCTGTCAGTGTGTCAGTGGCATTTTGTTCAGCACCCTTAAGTGGAATAACAGGGTTTACAGAGGCTTGTACTGGGCTGCAGTGGCAGGGGTTTGCAAGGGAAGCCAGCCTGTCCTTGGCTTCATCTAACTGTTATTCTTTCTGCACTAGGAATTGCTGAAAATTACACTTTCAAACAGAAAAAAGTCCATCCCCAAGCAATTAGCAGCCAGAGAGGGAGGTAGTAGAGGAGGGAGGGCAGGGAGTGACAAACTCCTCTCCTGCAACCTTTCTGTGCAGTTGGGTAAATAAGCTGCGGAGCAGCACTGTGCCCAGCTTCTCACCCTCTTTCCTAAGCAGGTGCATTGCGAGACGTTTGCAAAGATATTAACCCGCATACAGAGTGTGCCAGTCAGTAATTATGGAAATTAGTTGGCAATTAGATAATGTCACTCACAGCTGATAAGCAGTTGAGAGCCACTCCGAAGCGAGGGCGAGACCCTCTCCATGGGCTGCTGAGCAGATGGCTCTGACCTGGCATTAATGGGCTGCTCTCAGGTTTGGGAAGGTGGGTGGTGGTTGGGTAGCACTTGCCCACGGCACTGCAGGGGGGCTGCCTCCCTTCCCCGGCTCGGGAAGTTGTGCAGCTCTATCATCAGCCCTGTGAGTGGGATGTTTCAATCGTGCAAGTGGGTGTGTTTCCTACAGCAGGTTTTGTGTGTGTGAGATGATGAGCCGTCTGTTCAGCGTGCAGGTTCGTTGCTGTCTCAGCTCTCCGGCAGGCCAGGGAGGTGGTACAGGCTGCTGGAGGTACAGTGGAGATAACTTGCTGGCTCTCTCATTTCTTCAGGGTAGCAAGTATCTAAAATGCTCTGCAAAGACCTCACCTAGTGGTTTGTTGAAGGGCTGATCACATCAGACTGGTTGTCTTGTTTTGTGCTGCTAAATCGCATTAAGACAAAAGTGTAACAGAAAATATTTGTTGTGTTGCTTTTGCATGTGAGGTGGAATCGGAACAGGGGTGTTGCTAATTCGTGACTGGGAGAGGCGACGTCCATCATGAAGTCTATTTTTTTGTCAGATGTGATCATGCTGTGACAAAGTTTGAGGTTTCTCAGAGATAAAATACATAAGAAAATACTATGGGATTCTATAGTTATTGTCCCAAACCGTAATGCATTGCTATGGTAGCAGTGTGCTCTATGAGGCTGCTAGGGTAGCACTTGTGCTAAAAATAAAATGGTAAGAGCAGAAAATTATTCGTTCTCGGTGTGTCTTGGAGGATCATTGTGGGAAATGGGTGAGGCACAGAGTTGTTGTGTCAGGATGTACTCTGTCAAGGTTGGGATTCAGATCCTGGCCACTGCTAAAATAAGACACTGGGTCTTCTGAATTTTGAAGACCCTGTTACTGTATGGTGAGGCTTGCTCTCTCAGGCTGAAATGTGTGAGGTGCAAAACTGGAATAGCGGGAATTGCTGTGTGTCAGGACTGATGGGTGCTGGCAGAGCTGGAGGAGCCTCGGGTGGCCCCTGCCTGCTAGTGGCTGGGTGCAGGAGCCTTCCCAAAACCTGAGCTGCAGTGTCCAAAAGGCAATGAAGCACCCAGAAGTGCCTATATTTCATGGTTTTTATGTCGCCTTCCTCTTCTGAAACAGAACTGGCACTGTCTTCTTTCAAAACAGCTAGAAAGGGATTACCTTGGCTTCTTTCAGTCAAAACAGAGAGAGAGGGATTGCCTTGGCTTCCCTCAGCCAACAGTGCTGCTCCTGTTTAACTGTTTCTGCCTGGTTTCCCTTGTTAACTGTGGCCTTTGTCCTCTCCTAATGAACATGTATCAATGTTACAGAAATCTGTACTGTATAGGTAGCCTGCTCCCTTTACTGTGCCTTTTGAAATATCCCAAGGATTTAAGCGGCCCATGCAGACTGAGATTTCTTTCTCTGTGTAAAACAAGGTTTCAGCAGCATGGGTTTGGGAGAGGTAGGTAGGCTTTTTGGACAGGCCTTTGGGCTGTACATGGGCGTATGCATCTCATCTGTGGTTATCTATAGAGTGTTTACATCTGCTGCTGTGATTTATTGGTTCTCAAAGAGTTAGTCTTCTAAAACAGAGAGAGAAGAGTAGAAAGGCTGAGGGCTACTTCTGATGCAAGTGGTGCAACCCACCCTGCCCAGGAGAATTGAAAGCTGTGGCGAGAGCCCCTCTGCACGGGTGTCTCTGTGGGTGGTTGCTGCCATGCTGAGCTTGCCTCCCTCCCCAGCTCAGGCTGAGCACAGAGCTATCTGATGGAGCAGTGAATTTTGTTATGGTGGTGGTAAATGTTCCAGGGAACTGTGAGCTGCTGGGAGCACATCACTGGCTAATTTACACACATTATTATATTCCTATTCCCATCTCATCAATAATTCCAGGCTTGGGTCATCACTTTCTCTCTTACCTCCCTCTCACTCTATTCTCCTTCTTCATAAATCATGGGCTATTTTAGCGGAGCCACTAGGGAGCACAGAGGAGAAAGGTAAATGGACAAGAGCCACAATTTTCTTTTTTTCCTGGTGATTTTCAAAGCCCCTCAAAACCCCCATGAACTGAGCCAACATCATGATTATTGGGAAGACAGATGATTTGAGCATTTGGATATGTGGCTTTTTTTTTTTCATTTTACACCTCTCCTAACACCTCCTTTTTCCTCCCTCCATTCTCCTGAGCCAAGCTGTTAACAATTAAAAGGAATTATCTTCCCTCTGGTTTTGACTTGATTTTATTTGTGTTTATAGCAGTTTAGCTAACACACTCCACTCAGGCAGCTGCAGGGAACAGGCCTAGTTTCCACGGGGCACTGAAAGCTCACGGTTCTCTCCAACTAGCAGGTTTTCTTTTAATTGATCCCTTTTGTTTTCTAAGTGACTTGGTTTTGGTTCTGGCTAAATTTGCCAGACTGACAGCCCTGGAAACTTAGGGCTTCTGCAGGTCCCTGGGGCAGGTAGGGCAGAGGCTGTGACTCTGTGAGATCTCCCCTCTGTTGCTTACTGATTCTCCTCCAGCTCAGCCTCTGCCCTTATCAAGCAGACACTTTTCTGCACTGCCCATTTCTCCGGTGTCTGGACCTCCTTCTTTGGAGCAAGGTGGACAGTGGGGTTGAAAGGCATCTGCTGGGAGCAACAGCAGCCCCAGCAACTCTCATTGTCCACAGCACAAAACACTTTTCCCAAGCAAATATAGTCTCGCAATATTTGTGATCCAATTTGTGAAATCTGTGTTCATGCTCGCTTCTGGGAGGTTGAAGGCCTTGATTCTGATCACCTCCTTCCCTGCTCTGTATCTGTGCTATTGTTAGCCATTCCCAGAGCCGTTCTTGTGCCCAACCCACCTCTGTGAACAAGCACCTGAGTTGATGGAAAACTCACTTTATTTTTAAGCAGGATTTTCAAAGAATGAGCCCAGCTTTGTGCTGCCTTTACTTGTCATCTTAAAACATCCTCCTACCCCAGGCATACAGTCGCCCACATGCAAATAGGCAGAAGTGAATTAAATCTCAGTGTTAACAGGTGGAACTCTTGCTTGCTGAAGGCAGTTGAAATTGCTTGCTGTTAGCTAGGGGTGAATTTGGCCTTTTTGCTAAACCACCAGACCAGGGTAAGTGCTTAAGTGCTTAGACAGTTCTTATCATCTAAGCTACAAGTTTCCTATCATCTAAGCTGCAGGTTGCCATATATAATTTGCATAGCACATGTTTCCAGGTTGCAAAGGTCCCTGTTAGTCTCTGAAGTGTGCAAGACGTGTAAAGTAAAAGCAGCTATTGCATGACAGGCTGACAGCAGGGTTGTCTTCTCTAATGCTTACTTGGTGTGCTAGGGAGCATAATGAAAGCAGTGCAATGGGAAGTTTGGATAATGTTTTCTCTTGCCCTGTAACAACTTTTAAACTCTAAGGAACTCTGGTCTTTGCCCTAAGCATTTTCATTGAGGGGTGATTGTTACTGGGGAAGCTTCAGCACCATTCCTCTCAGTAAAGTCAATGAGGCTGCATCGATAATTTGGTGTATTTTTACCTTGCTTAGTGTTGTGGTGTGCGCAGATCACTTGGTGAGTTCTCTATTTGGTCTTCTTAGTTTTAAGGACATAGATGTCCTTGCTGCTTTGGAGGACTGTGTAGCCAACTGCGGTCATGAAGAAGTGGCCAGAGTATCAAGAAATGTAAATGAGTTACTGGACAAGATGTTAATAAGTTTCATGGTAAAGATATGGTGAGAGTAGTGGGAATAACTTCCTTTCTTTTCTTCTCTTGACCCCACAGGTCCTGCAAGCTCCATGAGTGCCAAGCAGTGAATTATGGGCCGGGTAGCCACCAGTGCATCATGAAGATTGGCTTTATTTTTGCCCTCTTGAGGATCACGTGCTTTATGAATTTACCTTCTCGTCCATCTCACTGCCACCTCCGTCGATATTGTCTTCACTTCTAGGAAACCAGAATCTGGGGCTTGGGCTTTAGCTCTGCTGTTCCTTCCTCCCTGGAACAACCAGTGTCACCTTTGTGTTCTACCAAAACAAATCACTGTGGGTTATTTTGCCCTTCACAAAAGTACGCCGGCTGGAAAATTCAATTCATATATGCTGTACTTCTGAGATAAAAGCCTCTGGATCCTAAACAATAATTGAGGTCTTTCCTTGGGGAGGAGACATTTCCTCTTGGTCACATGCACTAGCGATCTCACTTTCCACTTACTCTCCCCTTCTCTCTGTCACTGTCTGTGCTCTCCTCCTCTTCCTGTTGGATTTAACATTTGGTGTTGACTGCTGGGGTTCTCCTCCCAGTAGCGTGGCTTTTGTTTTTCTCCTAGGGAAGAGCAGATTCTTGAAACAATGGGCTTCACTCTGCACTCCGTCTACTTCACCTTGAAGGTGAGTTTGCTGCTGGGCTCCTTGCTGGGTCTCTGTTTGGGTCTGGAGTTCATGGGCATCCCCAACCAGTGGGCCCGCTACCTCCGCTGGGATGCCAGCACTAGGAGTGAACTCAGCTTCCAGTTCAAGACCAATGTCTCTGCTGGGCTGCTCCTCTACTTTGATGATGGTGGTGTCTGTGACTTCCTCTGTCTGTCCCTTGTTGATGGGCGCATCCAGCTCCAGTTTAGTGTGGACTGTGCGGAGACTACAGTTATCACAGACAAGCAGGTCAACGACAGCAACTGGCACTTCCTGATGGTCAGCCGCAATCACCTTCGGACAGTGCTAGTGCTGGATGGCGAAGCCAAGCCAGGCGAGGTGCGTCCACAACGCCAGTATATGAATATCGTCAGTGACCTTTTTGTTGGTGGAGTCCCACTGGACATCCGTCCTGCTGCCTTGACCCTTGATGGTGTTCTGGGTGAGCCTCCATTTCAAGGATTTATCCTGGATCTGAAATACGGCAACTCTGAGCCACAGCTCCTGGGCAGTCAAGGGGTCCGACTGGAAATGGAAGGGCTTTGCGCAGAAAACCCCTGTGAAAATGGTGGCACTTGCTTCCTTCTGGATGGTGAGCCACACTGTGACTGCTCAGCCACTGGATATGCTGGCAAGCTGTGTTCTGAAGGTAAGAGAATACTTCCATGCTTCCCATTGATCTTTACATAATCCGAAGAGCTAATTTGTCACTTAGCAGGGCTACAACTGAGCTCTTATCCCTGCTGGTGGCTATCAGAGGAATTAAAGTTCCACGGTTCTTTTTCTAGCTGGAAGTAATGAAATGGGAGTAGATGGAGAGCATGAGCCATTGCAAAAAGTGCTTTCTGAAAGGATGCTGCATTTGTAGCATGGACAGATTTTCATCAGCAACTTGGTAATAAGGGTGGAGAACATAAATTAGAAATACAGAAGTTGGTAAAAGCAGTGGTAAGAAGTTATCTTAGCTATCTGGGTGAATTCCACTATCCTGTGTCCCTGAAAACTGAGTGGAGTGTTGGTGAATGGGAGCCATGTACGTATGGCTAACATAACTGATTGAGAGGATGTTGCAAAAGTTAGGACATCTTTGATGTCAGCTGTGATTAGTCTGTGGAAACCCCATGCTCAATTGCTCACTCCTCAATTGCTTGCATACTAATTGCTGAATGGCACCTTGATTGTTTTATTGCAAAGGGAAGAGGGATTTGAATGTTTCTACATTGTTTCATACTGTCTTTTAAATTTTGAGTCCAGAAGTTTTAAGTCATGCAAAACACATGATGAAGTATGTCTCCTTCCCCCCCCACCCCCTCCTGTGGTCTTTAGCAGTGTGATGGTAATTAACTCTGTATATTGACTGGAAAACCCAGTGTGAATCTGAGAATCTCATCACAGCTTTTTTTTTTATGGCATTTGGGTTTAAACACAACAGTTTGAGCTTAAGCCAAAGACAAAACCTGGGCAAGAAGTGCCCAATCTCAAAGAAAAAAAAACAAAAACAAAAAACCCCCAAAAAACCAGAAACAAACCAAAACAAAGCTGAAACTTTGTCAAAATGAAAATACTTGCAAGAATATCTTATCACAACTGGCATTTGTTTACTTATGTTGGCAATGAAAATAGATTAACTGGAATTTAGTATGTAGAGTGGGGTAAGTGCTGAAAATAAAATCCCTGTACTGTTGATATGTAAGCAAAAAGCCCTACAGAAATACTACGTAAATACAGCTCTACGTTTACAGTATAGATGGAAAAGCAAATGTTTTTATAGGAAGGGAAGGTTTGGAAAAGAAACATGACATCCATATGTGCATTCATTTTAAGGTGCTGTTAATGATAACAGAAAATTTGGCTTTATATCCAAATATTACAGTAACAGTACATGACCAATAGATAGGAGGTGTGAGCCTGCAAGGTGCTGAACACCAGAATTCTTCCTGGCTATTTGCTCTGCACCGATCAGATCCAAACCAATAACGAGCCAGAACTATTTTCTGTGATTGACCCACGAATTATGTGGAGCTGGAGAGACTGCTGGTTGTGACCAAGCACTTCAATAGATGGGCTGCTGGGCCTGATCTTCATACACTTACAGAACAAATACACCTCATGTCTAAATGCCAGTTGTGGGTGATGGAAGACTGCAAGACCACCCAGGCGTGCGGACTCTTAAACATAAAGATATAAGCCTCTTTCTACTGCTGGGCTTCTAATCTAAGGCATCCAGACTCCACAGGTTGCTGCTTGAGGCATCAACAGCGTATGGTATTCAGTGAACTTCTTGAGAAACTACTGTAAGTGTGTGAGGCTTCCAGGTACCTGTGGGGCAATCGTGAGAGCTCTAACCAGGGCTTGGGTGGTGGAATCTCTCCATTTCCTGGGTGGCTGGAGCAATATCAAATATATCTTCTAATGAAGCCAGGGATATTTCTGTTGTAGGCATCACAGATCAAGCAGTGCTATTGTTACCTTTTGAAGCCATGCGTCACCATTGCTGTTTGTTTCCTATAGTGATTCATCAGTTTCCAGCCCAACCTTCTATTAAGGGTGAGCAAAGACGTTTGTCACGATGTACCTTTTTTAATAAATATTTTTAACTCACTGTTAGCTGTGGTCTGTTCAGTCACATATAAGATGCTGTGCAGAGAACTTTTCCAGTGGAACAAATGTAGAGATTTCCCCAAATGCATTATCTTGTCTGGTTCTTCAGTTTTCTCTTGTATTACTTCATGTTATATATTTGGTTTATGTCACAATTTTATAATCAGCCTTGTTTTCTGCCTCCTTTATGCTGCAGCAGTGGTGATTTCTGTGTGTTAAATGCTGTCACCCAAAAATGTTACAGTGTCTGTGCAGATTGTGAGAAGAAGGGGAAAAACAGAAGAAAAACTGATTAGTAAGTGGAAACAAGCAGACAAAGAAAAGTGTCAAGGAAACAAACAGGAACCAAGTTAAGTATAGCTGCCTTTTTATCTGACTTTGAAAAACAGCAAACTCCAAAGATGCTTTCTTTAGATTCTGTAAGTGTGGCAGAACCTCCAGTGTGGCAGGACCTCCACTGATGAACAGTAGGATGTGGTAGGAACAGCAGGACTGGATTCAGGCTCTTCCTGCCTGTGGCTTGATTGGCCATTAACCAACTTGTATTTTCTTTGTTTGCTTTTTTCCCAAGAGATTGTAATGCTTGTTGTTGGAACTGTTTCCCCCCCCCCCCCCTTTTTTTTTTTTTGTTTCCTTCTCCCTCCTCTGGATATTTGCAGAAGTAACATGGTTATTTTATTCACCGTCTCATTTTTGAAAAAGACATGATTTTTCAACTGGCTATCAACAACTCCCTTTTGGGGGGGGATCCTTAACTCCATTACAGTATTTACTAGTCTGTAGTCTGTGTGCGTATTTTCATTTTGGCTCTTTTACTGGGAACTGATGGGATCCAATCAATACCAACTTCTGTTTGAACAGCTAAATGTAATGTGTACCTTTTTAATAATGAGTTCTCTTGACAGTGTCCAGGCCATTACTTGGCTATTGACTGATGCCTATGTCTGCAGATAGTAAAACCACAGCAAACTCATTTATTCTGTGGCCAGAGAAATAAGAAATAAATAGAGAGTGGAACCTGCTGAGCCTGTGTTGTGACGCAATGAAGCTCCATTTACAGTATTAGGGGTTACTGTAACGCAAAGTGCAGTTCCAGTTATGGTGAACCTCAGCAGAGAACAACCATTCCATACTGAGACAAAACTGTAAATTCTGTCCAGAATCAGACCCAATGTGCAGAAGGATTTTTGGCACTTACCATGCACTCAGGATTTCCGGGATTTTGTATCTCATGGTAGCTACACGCCCAGAAGGGTAGCTGAGCTGATCATTGCTGGTCCATGAGAAGTACGATTTCTGTGTCTGAGCATGTACAGCGAGGGCACCAATGTGTGCACACTGTGGAAGGCTGTTTTGAATAAAATGCGGTACTATTTTTGTTGCAGTTGGGGTAAACTGGTTCATCAAACCTGACAGCTCTGTAGGGTACAGAGGATGGCTGATTTGAGTATTAATTAATTTGTATGTTTCTGGGCAATGGTGGCATTAGACAAGAAAGCTGAAGTCAGACACACCTTCCCCTCTAATAAACCTCATCAGTCTCTGTGGGATCAGGCTGCTGCCAAGAGAATGAGGTTCCTGTAGAATTTGAGCGGCACAGATATGTTCGTATCACTGGAAAAAATACCCCAAACCTTCCCCACGCAAATTTTACAAACAGCGCTGCAGTAGCAGCTAGATGAGCATGTTCATATCTGCTCTTTCAAGCTGAAGACATCACACCATCTTCCTTAGTCTGCAAGAAATTCTCTCTCTGACATTGCAATGTAGAGAGCGAGTTCGCTAATGTGGACAGTGTGAGTGCAGCATTGTATGTACAAGAGTATTTTGGCCCAAGACCTCACGCCTCTCCCTAGGCCCCTTCTGGACTTTGTGAGGGTAGGTGAACAGAAGATGTGCTTAGAAATGACATCAACTCTGCTTGTAGCTGCAGAACCAAGACGTTGATGTGATCACCAGCTTCACAAAGCACCATGCTGAAGCCTTTGTATTGCCTGCAGGGGCTGTTTCTAAACGAAGCCTGAATAGGGGCCTGATTGCACCTCTTCCCTTGATTACAGAGCAAGATTTCCTGGGGATGCTGCCTGCTGAATGACAGAGGGGCCCGTTGCTCTGTAATTATCACACTTTTAACTGCAGTGGGAACAGATTTTTCTATAGCCCCTCAGCTTTGTTTAAAGCGACAAGTTACTGCAGGATTTATTCTCCACCTGCCCCTTCGGAGCAGCCCGGTTTTGGCTGCATCTGAAAGGACTGCCTAGCCTCACTTGCAATCACTGTATCTGCCTGCCAGCCACCCCAAACTTTGTAACACTAAGGGCTAATTTGGCACTTTGCCATGAGCCTGATGGGTACACTTAATTTGCATATGCATTTACATAAATTTTGTAATCAGAAACAAATGAACATGACCATAATATTTGCTTCCACTTGCATATTCCTTGATAGACGAATATAAATTGGTTGTTGTCGAATTCACCAGCAATAAACAGCTGCAGACCCTCCCTTGGTCCTGTGCTGTTCTGGAGGACAGCAGGCGGTTCTGGGACACGCTTTGGAGGGCCCCGATCTTCACTTACCAGTACAGAACTCTAGAACTGATGGTCTCCGAGGGCTGTGGAGTAAGTATTGCAAGAGGCAAATCTGCTGTTTTATGCCGCTTCTTATGCCCCAGCTCTGGCCATTGGGTGAAAGCTGGTAAGAACTCTGCTTGTGACTTACTTCTACAGCAATTTGTTTTTCCCTACCCATTCCTCTTGCTCATTTTTCCTGGTTTAATTTCCTTTGGTTCTATTGAAAATAGTGATTTTTTTTCCAGTCTGGTTATAATTTTTTGATGCATTGCCAGATGATGGGCACCAGGGAAAGATGATGTGTTAAGATATTAATTAATGTTTATAAAGAGTTTTGAAACTCCAGAGTGCAGTTTAAGCACCCATTGTTATTCTTAATAATACATAATAAAATGGAGCAGGAGCTGCAGAATTTCCATTTAGATTCCATACACCACTTCACAGAAATGGCCTAGGACCCGTCTGCCCTAAGTGT